ATGCCCGGCACGACGATCTGCGGCCTTGCGGACGGCAACAACTGGGCCGTGCGCACGATCGTGAACAAGTACCGCGACGAGTTCGAGAAGCGGGTGAAGCCGACGTTTGTGCCGGTGTCGATGAGCGTGGGGGCGAAGGCGAACGGGTGAGGGAAGAAGGCATCAGGCACCAGCCATCAGGCACCAGTGAAAACAGCAGCCGCGAGCGGGAGCGAGCGGACCGTTGAGGTAACAACCGCGAACGGCAGTGAGCGGGCCAGTCAAAATGGCCAAATAGCAAATGAGCAAATGGCCAGATGAAGGCCGGCGCGAGCGGGGGTCGCATGTCTGATCGAGCGCCGGATGGACAACTCGCACGCGTCTCCACCGACCCATACGACGGGCGACGGTACTGGTATCTCGGCGCGGATCGCTTCGAAAACGTGGATGCCGCGTTCCCCGAGTTCGGCGCGTTCTTTGCTGTGATGATCTTCTGCGAAGCGGGGAAGAAGGACTACCGCGCGATCTCTGATCTCGCGGCCCGCCTCACGCGACGCGGCGCGTCGACCGTTCACTGCTGGGGGCCGGGGTGCGAGCAGGTGCACGATCTATTCGACGATGTCTATGTCGTCGACGAGATCGGTGTTCTCGAGCAGGACGGCATCGAACGGCCGCGGAGTTATGTGTTTCTTCAGCACACGTACTGGCACACCGAGCGGTCGCTCAGGGAAGCGTCGAACTGGTTTCTTGAGCTGACCAGACCGTGGGAAGCCGCTGACCACACACACAGCGAGTCCCCCGAGTGGCATTGTCTCGACTGGCTCGTGATCGTCGTCGGCGATCACGACGAGTGGAAGGACGAGGTGTGGGGCTACCTGCTCGATCCCGAGAGCACCGAGGAGGAGCCGACGCCCGATGAAATCCAGAGACGACGGCAGATCCTGAAACACGCCGAATGGCTCGAACGTCGGGAATCGTCCCCGGATGCGCTCGTCGCGCCGGATCGCGCGCCGGACAATCAGCTGACGCTCGTCCCGAACGCGTTTTCCGACACGTCCCGGTACTGGTACCTCGCGGCCGACCAGCTCGATGACGTCGACGCCCTGCTCGAAGGGCTGGGATCGCCGTTCATCCTTTTCCTCGCCTGCGAAACGGAAGAGATGGACTTCGACACTCTCAAAGCCCAGATCACTCCGGTCCTGCGCCGCGGCTGCTCGTCTGTGTGCTGCTGGGGCCCGTCGTGCCAGCGGAACGAGACCGCGTTCGACTTCGCGTCGATTGAATTGGATGAAGCTGGCACCGAACACCCCGACAAAGTTCTGATGACGACGGCCCACGCAGACGATTCGCTCGCCGACGCGTTCTGGTTCTTCCACATGTGCACTCGGCCGCTTGAGGCGGATCGGCTGGTCGTCATCGTCGGGGATCACGACGACTGGAAGGACGAGATCTGGGGCTACCTCGCGGATCCCCGGTCCTCGTTCGCCGATGAGGACGGCGAATCAACCTGACCCGTGCACCCCGGTACACCCTTCATCCCAACCCCAGATGAAGGCCCCGCCCATGCACAAACACGCCCTCGCCGCGTCCCTCGCCCTCGCCTGCACCGCCCTCGCGCAGGACGCGCCCGAGGCGGCCCCCGAGCCCACCACACTCGAAACCATCCGCGCCGAGGCCGATGCATACGCCGAGCACTGCGAGACGCCGCTCGCGCGTGATTTCCTCGCGTCGGCGCAGGACCTGCCCGCGATCACCGAGCCGCGTGTGGTGTTCTACAACCGCGAGGCCGGGGCGGCGATGACGGCGGAGGAGTACGAGCGGGCGAGCGAAGCCGAGCGGGAGGGGTTCGAGCGGACGGAAGTGGGGGAGCGGTACTACTACCTCACGCGGTTCGGCACGCCGGTTGCCTACGCGCGCGGGCTCGAGATCGTCTCGCCGTTCCTGGATGGCTCGGTGGACGGCAAGCGCGTGTTCGATTTCGGCCACGGCGGGATCGGCCAGCTCCGCATGCTCGCCTCACTCGGGGCGGACGTTGTCGGATGCGACATCAGCACGCTCAACGGCGCGGTGTACGCGGGCGACCTGGGCGAGGTCGGGCGCGCGGAGATTGCGGGCGAGGGGGAGAACGGGAGCGTCGACCTGCTCGTCGGGCGCTTTCCCGCGGAGAAAGACATCATCGAGCGCGCGGGCGCGGGGTACGACCTCGTGATGAGCAAGAACACGCTCAAGCTGGGGTACATCCACCCCGAGCGCGAGGCGGACCCGCGCACGGTCATCGACCTCGGCGCGACGGACGAGGAGTTCCTCGATGCCGTGCACGCGATGCTCAACGAGGGCGGCGTCTTCCTGATCTACAACCTGTACCCCAAGCCCAGCGCGCCGGACGAGCCGTACCGCACCTGGGCCGACGGTCGGTGCCCCTTCGCGCGCGAGCTGTGCGAGGCGCAGGGGTTCGACGTGCTGATCTACAACCGCGACGATACCGACGCCGCGCACGCCATGGGCAAGTCGTTCGGGTGGGAGGACACATACGACTTCGAGACCGACCTGTTCGGCATGGTGACGGTGCTGCGCAAGCGGTAGGGGGGCGGGATTGGCACAGGTCCGAGTGGGGGATTCCGGCCGCGTAACGGGGAAAAAAGACGCGCGATCCGATTGACCCCGCCCTTTTCAGAAATAGACTCATTTCAATCTTCCGCGCACGGCGAGAAGGGTCGCGGGTCGGAGTCGTCCGCGGCGTCGGTGCACGGGAATGTGAGGAGTCTTTTATGACGACGAGATCTCTGAGATTGGGATGGTCGCGGTGCGCGCTCGGCGCGTCCGCGGTCCTCTTCCTGGCCGGCGCCCCCGCCTCGGCGGACACGGTCATCGACTGGAACCTGATGCTGCGTGACGCGACGCGCGCGCAGACCGGCGTCGCCGCGGCCCCCGGGCCGGTGGCGCGGGCGGGCGCAATGCTGCACGCGGCGATCTTCGACGCGGTGAACGCGGTCGACCGCACGCACACCTCGGCGATGGTGGACATCAAGGCGGCGCCGGGGACGGACAAGTTCGCGGCCGCCGCGGCGGCGGGGCACGCGACGCTCTCGACGCTCTACGGCTCGAACGCGGGGCTACAGGCGCAGTTCGACGCGATGTTCGCGTCGCAGATGGCATCGATCCCGGCCGGACCGGGCCGCGACGCGGGCGTGGCGCTGGGCCAGTCGATCGCGTCGTCCGTGATCAGCGGTCGCGCCGGCGACGGGCACGACGCGCCGTTCAGCTACACCGAGAGCCCCGCGCCGGGCCAGTGGCGCTCCAACTACGCCCCCGGGGCGCCCGCGTGGGGGCCGCAGTGGGGCGACGTGACGCCCTGGGTGCTGAACTCGGGCGACCAGTTCCGCCCCGGGCCGCCGCCCTCGCTGACGAGCCAGGAGTACACGGACGCGTGGAACGAGGTCTACCACAAGGGCCGCGCCACCGGCTCGACGCGCACCGCGGACGAGACCGAAGTCGCGTGGTTCTGGGGCAACGACCGCGACGGCACCATGAAGCCGCCGGGGCACGTGAACCGCATCGCGGAGATCGTCGCGAACGACCGCCTCGCGGGCCTGAGCGAAAGCGAGCGCCTGAGCCAGTCGGCCCGGCTCTTCGCGCTGGTGAACGTCGGCATGCTCGACGCCTCCGTCGCGGCATGGGACAGCAAGTACAACACCGACAACGATTTCTGGCGCCCGATCGCCGGCATCCGCGAGGCGGACACTGACGGCAACATCAACACCATCTCCGACCCGACGTGGGAGCCGCTGAGCCACATCGGCGTCGGCGGCGACCCGTTCTCCCCGCCCTTCCCGGCGTACGTCTCGGGCCACGCGACCTTCGCCGCGGTCGGCTCGTCGCTCATCGCGCAGTTCTTCGGGACGGACGAGATCTCGTTCGTCCTGGACACGGACGACGTCGACGCCAACGGGGCGGTGCGCAGCTTCGACCGCTTGAGCGACGCCGCGTGGGAAAACGCGCTGAGCCGCGTCTTCCTGGGCGTGCACTGGCGCTTCGACGCGGTGGCCGGCAACGAGCTCGGCTACGACGTCGGCGAGTACTTCTTCGAGAACTTCCTCGTCGAGATTCCCGCCCCGGGCGTCCCGTTCGCGTTCGCCGCGATCGGCGCGTTCGGGTTCACTCGACGCAGGAGAGGCTGACCGGCACACGCCGCGCGGGGCTGAGTCCTTCTCTCCCCGGGCGTTCCGTCAGACGCGATCCGGGACCCGTCCGAAAGGGCGGGTCCCGTGTTTTTTTGGCTGTCCCGGTCGGCACGCCCCGGGACACGCACAACAAATTCGCTTCGGAATCGGGCTTCGGCGCGATACTCTCATGGGGACTCGAAACCAGGAGACCCCCATGCCGACCCGCCTCGCGACCGCCGCCGCCATCGTCTGCCTCGCCTCCACCGCCGCCCTCGCCTCGATGCCCGAGATCTTTCACAAGGACGGGTACGAGAAGGCGAAGGCCCTCGCGACGGAGCAGGGCAAGTTCCTCATCGTCGACTTCACCGCGGTGTGGTGCGGGCCGTGCAAGCGGATGGACAAGGACACCTGGGTGGACGACTCGGTGACGACCTGGATCCGCGACCACGCGGTGGCGGTGCAGGTGGACGTCGATGAGCAGCGCGACGTCGCCCAGGCGTACAACGTCGGCGCGATGCCGACGGTCGTCGTCGTGAAGAACGGTGAGGAGTTCGACCGCCAGGTCGGCTACCAGGGGCCGCAGGCGCTGCTCGGGTGGTTCGACACCGTGCAAACGGGCAAGAGCTCGACGCAGATCCTCCGAGACTCGCTCGCGAACGACGACCTGCAGGGCCCGGCGCTGGTGAAGGCGAAGTGGGACCTCGCGAAGGTGGAGGTCAACGCCGGCAACCTCGACGATGCGACGGACCTCTATGCCTGGCTCTGGGACAACTGCCTCGAGCTGGATCAGGGCATGGTCGGCGTCCGCGGCTCGTTCATCCTAGGCGAGATCACGCGCCTGATGGCGAAGCACGCGCCCGCGAAGGAGCGATTCGAGGCGATCCGCCAGAAGGCGTGGAAGGGCGTGGAGGGGCGCAAAAGCCTGCAGGCGATCGACGACTGGGCGACCATGAGCGTCGAGTTCGGCCACGCTGACGAGGTCCTCGCGTGGTACGACGCGCACAAGGACTCCAAACGCGACGCGCGCGCGGTCGCACGGATCTCCTGGCGTTTGCAGGAGCTGTTCATCCAGAACGAGCGCTGGGTCGACCTCGGCAACTCGCTCCAGCACCCCGCCGAGGTCTTCGGCGTGCAGGCGAACTACCTGACCGAATCCGGGGCGCAGGCGATCGACGAATCCATGCGCGCCGAGATGATCGGCTACATGCGCGAGCAGGTCGACGCGCAAGCCGTGCAGTACCACACCGCCCTGCTCGCCGCGGGGCGCGAGGCGGAGGCGTTCCGCGTCGCGAACATCTACTTCAAGACGTCGAGCGACGACGGCCCACTCAAGCTCGCGCTCGTCCGCCACGCGTTGAACGCGGGGTACACACACGCGAAGCACGCCGAGTGGTGCGACGAAGCGGGGGACCCGTATCTGGCGGGTCAGGTTCGGAAGGCGCTGGGTGAGGGCTGAGCCTCACCCGCCCGCGCCGACCATCTCCGCGTACCGCTCCTCGCTCACACCGATCTTCATCGCCAGGTGGTGGAGCACGACGCGCTCGTTCTGATCGAACTCCCCGTCGGCCCGGGCGATCTCGAGCAGGATCCGCGTCACCTTCTCGGGATCGGCGCTGAGGAAGTCGAGCTGCTTCTGGTAGTGCGTCCGCCGCTCCTCCACGGCCATCTCCATCATCGCCTTGAAGCTGGCCTCGCCGACGCCGGCGGCCTCCTTGATCTTGCGGAGCAGGGCGACCTCGTCGTCCGTGATCTCCCCGTCGAGGCCCGCGATGCACACCGCGGCCCGGAGTATGTCGACCTTCTGCATCGCGTCCTCCCGTTCGTGAGCGGCTCCGAGACCCGAACCGAATCCGAAATCGCGACCCGGGCACTCGTGCATGGTAGGCGAAGAGGCGCCGGCTCTGGTGTCCGCAGAAGTGGTGGATCGGACGTTCTCGCGGGCCGATGTTGGCTCTATACTCTGGGGCACCCCGTTCGGATGGGGGCCCCGAACCGCGTATGAACGCACCGAGCACCATGACACCGACACACACCGAGGGCGACACGTCCCACGCCGTCTCCGGCCCGCCGGACGACTCGGCCGAACCTTCGCCGACGGAGCCTCCGAGTCCGAGCCGCGAGACGGCTGATTCGGGGGCCGAGCCCGCCATCGAGATCCTCGACGCGACGCGCACGCTCAGCACGGCCGATCTCTCCGCGCTCACATCGCACGCGCAACGCGCCTGCGCCCTCGCCGGCGCGGCGGGCGGCGAGGTGCGCGTGCGCCTCGTCCGCGACGACGAGATGGCCGCGGCGCACGAGGAGCACTGCGGCGTCCCGGGCACGACGGACGTGATCACCTTCGACCTCAACGAATCCCCGAACGCCACGCTCGACGCGGACCTTCTGGTCTGCCTCGACGAGGCGGCGCGCCAGGCGGAGAGACGCGAACACACACTCGCGCGCGAGCTGCTGCTCTACATCCTCCACGGCGCGCTGCACTGCCTGGGCGAGGACGACAAGACCGAGGCGGCCTCGGAGCGCATGCACGCGCGCGAGGACGAGATCCTCGAGGCGATGGGCGTCGGCGCGACGTTCTCGCGCGGGGAGGCGGGCTCCTGATGTCCACGCCCCTGCTCATCGCGCTGCTCGCGCTGATCATCGGCTTCGTCGCCTCCACGCTCCACGAGGCGCTGCGGGACTACTCCATCCGCAAGCTCCAGGAGATCGCCGATTCCAACGGCGGGATGGCCAAGCTCGACCCCATCGTGAGCGACCCGGAGGGCCACGCGCTCATGCCGGGCCTGCTCCGCGCCCTCGCCTTCGCGACGTTCATCGTGGCGTCGTTCTTCCTCGTGGACACGTTCGCGGTGAGCGAGTCCGGCGAGACCACGGTGCGCATCTGGGTCCTCGTGCTCGAGATCATCGTCGACGCCGTCATCGGCTACTTCCTGATCCTCGAGCTCCCCGCGAGCGTCGCCCAGCACGCGGGGGAGAAGATCATCCACGCCGGCGCCGGGCTCCTGCGCGCGGGCTACTTCCTCGCCCTGCCCCTCCGCAAGATGCGGTTCTACGACATCGCCGTGAAACGCCTCGCCGGCGCCACCGGCACGACCGCCGCGGACGAGATCGAGGACGATTTGCTCAGCGCCGTCTCCGAGGGTGAGCGTGAGGGCACGCTGGGCGAGACCGAGCGCGAGATGATCGAGGCCGTCGTCGAGCTGCGCACCATGACCGTCGAGGAGGTCATGACCCCGCGCACGGAGATAGAAGGCCTGGAGCTCACCGACGACCTCAAGGCCGCGAGGGACTACATCCACGAGGTCGGCCACTCGCGCATCCCCGTGTACCGCGACGATTTGGACCACCTCGTCGGCATCCTCTACGCGAAGGACCTGCTCGCGTTCCTGGGTGAAGCGGACAAGCCATTCACGATGCGCGACGTCCTCCGCGAGCCGATGTTCCTCCCCGAGACGCGCTCGATCAACGAGGCGCTCCTCGACATGCGCTCGCAGAAGATCCACCTCGCGATCGTGCTGGACGAGTACGGCGGCACCGCCGGGCTCATCACCATCGAGGACATCCTCGAGGAGATCGTCGGCGAGATCGAGGACGAGTACGAGCCCGAGCACGAGACGCCCCCGGCGATCGAGGTCGACGCGCCCAACCGCACCGCCGACGTCGACGCGCGGGCCTACCTCGACGACGCGAACGACGCGCTCAAGCCCATCGAGATCCTGCTCGAGGAGTCCGAGGACTACGAGACCGTCGGCGGGTGGGTCATGTCCAAGCTCGGGCACATCCCCGTCGCCGGCGAGACCTTCTCGGTCAACGGCTACGACATCGAGGTGCTCGAGGCCGAGCCGACACGCGTCCGGAAGCTGCGGTTCGTCGCCCGCCCGCCCGCGGAACCCGCCTCGGAGGCGTCGCCGGAGCCCGCGCCCCCGCCGCCTTCGGAATCCTCGACGAACCCGTAAGCACGCCCGCGGGGATCGGCTATCCTCGCCGTTCCCCATGACGCTCTCGCTCTACAACACGCTCCACAAGTCCCTCGAGACGTTCCGCCCGCTCAGCCCGGGCGAGGTGACCTTCTACACCTGCGGCCCGACGGTGTACGACTACGCGCACATCGGCAACTTTCGGAGCTTCCTCGCGGCGGACGTGCTCCGCCGGTGGCTCGAATCGCCGCTCTGCGAGCGCGTGACGCCAGATGGCGCGCCCGAAGGGTCCGGGGGTTCCGGCGGGTACCGCGTGACGCACGTGATGAACCTCACGGACGTCGGCCACATGGTGGACGACGGCGACGCGGACGGCGGGGGCGAGGACAAGATGGAAGCGGCGCGCGAGCGCCTGCTCGAGCAGAAGAAATCCGGCAGGCTCCCCGAGGGCGCGGACGCCTCGTTCGACCCCAACAGCCCGTGGGACATCGCGCGGTTCTACATCGACGCCTTCATCCAGGACGCGCTCGCGCTCGGCATGAAGGTTGTCCGCGAGGCGCAGGAAAAACCCGAGCTGCTCCCCCGCCCGACCAACGAGGTCCGCGGGATGCTCGAGATGATCCTCACGCTGCTGGACAAGGGCTGCGCGTACGTCGCGTCCGACGGCGTCGCGTACTTCGATACGCAGAAGTTCCCCGCCTACGGCAAGCTCTCCGGCAACACGCTGGAGAACATCCGCTCCGGCGCGGGCGGGCGCGTGAGCGACGCGGCGCAGTCGGTCAAAAAGCACCCCGCCGACTTCATGCTCTGGAAGCCGGACACCAAGCACCTGATGAAGTGGGACCCCCCGGAAGTCCTGAAGGACAGCCCGGACCTGGCGCAGAAAGCGCGAGACGCCGGCCTGCGCGAGGGGTACCCGGGGTGGCACCTGGAGTGCTCGGTCATGGCGCGGAAGTACCTGGGCGCCGAGGTCATCGACCTGCACTCCGGCGGCGAGGACAACATCTTCCCGCACCACGAGTGCGAGATCGCCCAGTCGTGCTGCGCGACGGGCAAGGACGAGTTCGCCCGCTACTGGTTCCACGCCCGGTTCCTGCAGGTCGAGGGCGCGAAGATGAGCAAGAGCGCCGGGAACTTCTTCACCGTGCGCGACCTCATGGCCAAGGGCTTCGCGCCGGACGCGATCCGGCTCGAGCTCATCAAGACGCACTACCGCTCGAACGCGAACTTCACCGAGCAGGGCCTCAAGGACTCCAAGCGCATAGTCACGCGCTGGCGCACGTTCCTCGAGAAGGCCGAGGCGTCGAGCGAGGCCGGCGAGCGGAACGGCGACGCCGCGCATAAGTTCGCGCGGGCCATGAACGAGGACCTGAACATCGCCGGCGCGCTCGGCGTCATCAGCTCGTGGATCAACGCCACGACCGAGCCCACGCGGGCCGACGCGGATCTGCTGCGCGAGTTCGACGGCGTCCTCGGCGTGCTCGATCTCGATGCCGAGGTCGCGACGGAGTCGTCGGGCGACGAAGACGCGAAGATCGACGCGCTGGTCCAGGCGCGTCAGGACGCGCGCAAGAACAGGGATTTCGCCGAGGCCGACCGCCTCCGCGACGAGCTGACGGCGCTGGGCGTCGTCGTCGAGGACACGCCGGACGGGCCCGTGTGGTCGCGTGCGGCGGCGTTGTAAGACGCGGGACGCGAAAGGGAGAATGAAGGGATGACACCGGACAAGGACACCTGCGACCTCGGCGCGCTGCGGGGGCGGTTCATCGTCTTCGAGGGGCCGGACGGCTCGGGCAAGTCGACGCAGTTCTCGCGACTCAAGCAGACCTGCCGCGACGCCGGCGTCACCGTCACCGCCGTGCGCGAGCCGGGCGGGACCGCGATCGGCGAGCGCATCCGCTCGGTGCTCCTCGACCCGGACCTCGACGAGATGAGCCTGCGCTGCGAGATGATGCTCTACATGGCGAGCCGCGCGCAGCTCGTCGAAGAGGTCATCCGACCGGCGCTCTCGCGGAACGAGCTGGTCATGGCCGACCGCTTCGTCTCGAGCACCATCGCCTACCAGGGCCACGCCGGCGGGTTCCCGATCGCGGACATCATGCTCGTCGCCCAGGCGGCCGTCGGCCCGCTCGAGGGCGGGTGCTGGCCCGACCTGACGCTCATCTTCGACGTCGACGCCGAGACCGCCGCGTCGCGATTGAGTTCCGAGAAAGACCGCATGGAGCAGAAGAGCGCGTCGTACCACGCGAAGGTCCGCGAGGGCTACCTCGCCCAGGCGCGCGAGGCCCCGGGGCGATTCGCCGTCATCGACGCCACCGCCGACGTCGACGAGGTCACACGCCGCCTGTACGACACCATCGGCGCCCACCCCGCGCTCACGAGCGCGGCACGCTGAATGGGCCTCTCGGCGCGACTCGCTTCCGCCCTCGGCGTCGACGCATCGTCGTCTGGCGATGTGCGCGTGGACGACGTCGACCGGCGCTACCGCGACGCGATCAAGGCCGGCGCCGGGCCCGTCGAACCGCCGGCGGACGCGCCCCAGGGCCGCGTCGCGACGCTCGAAGACCCCGATACCGGCGAACGCGTGCGGCTTGTATCGGACGTCTAGTCGGCAGCGGATCCGGCCGATCCAGAGATCTATGCCCCGTGGCGCCTTCCATCTCGCGGCCCTCATCGCCCTGGCGGTCGCCCTGGGCGGCTGCAACGACCGCACGATCGCCGTGCGCCAGGACTCGGGTTTCCGCACGACGGACATCGTCAAGGGCGGCGGCCTGCTCGTCGACGAGGGGTGCGTCATCACGGTGCACTACACCGTCAGCCTCCCGGACGGCACCCCCGTGATCGACACCCACGCCATGGGGCGCTCGCACACCTTCGAGGTCGGCGGCGGCACGGTCGTCGCGGGGATGGACAAGATGGTCCGCGGCATGCGCGCCGGCGGCGTCCGCGAGGGGCGCGTCCCGCCCTCGTACCACTACGGCTCGCAGGGCTACGGCGGCAAGATCCCGCCCAACACCACGCTCACGTTTCGCGTGGAAGTCGTGAGTGTCCGGTCGGGGTGACGCGGCAACCTAATCTCGTAGCAGGATCATCGCGCGCTCGAGCGTCACGCGGTCCAGGATCGGGCCGTGCTCGCCGGGATCGATGCGGATGGTCAGCTCTTCGCCCTCGGCGGTGAGGGAGAAGGGCGCCTCGAGGTTCTCCGCGAACAGCCTCTGGGAGAACAGCTCTCGCCCGTCGAGCTCGATGGTCACGACGCAGTCGCCCCAGGGCAGGGCGTTCTCGTCGAGCCGGAACGTGCCGCCGAGGCGCATCGCGTCGGCGGGCAGCGTGTACGTCACCTCCATCGGTCCCGGGAACTCGATGGTCGCGAGCCCGAGGGTGGAGCGGCCCAGGTCGCGGTCGTCGTAGGACGACGCGGCGTAGCGGATCGGCGCGCCGTGCGGGCGTTCGCCGGTCGGTTTCTGCACGATCGGCGAGAGCGTCGCGAGCGGGAGCAGGCGCGACGAATCGAAGGCGATGCCCCGGAGGGCGTTCACGCGGTAGACGGCGCGCTGGCCGGAATCGAGCGTGAATTCGAGCCTTTCTCGGGACGGATCGGTCGCGAGGGTGTCGGCGCGGGCGATGGTGCCGTCCCCGAGCCAGAGGTACACGCCCTCGGGCGCGCCGCGCTCGTTCGCGAGCGTGAGCGCGTTCACGCGGTCGACGGGGATGTTCGCGACCTGCCCGTCCGCTTCGAAGATCACGGGGTCGCCGAGCCCGGCGAGGAACCCGCGGAGGACGTCGCCGTTGGCGAGCATCAGCTCGTCCTCGATGAGCGCCTCGCGCTGGCGCGCCGAGAACGTGCTGCGCGCGAACGGCGAGAGCCTGGCCCCGGCGACGACCTCGAGCGAGAACGTCAGCTCGCCCATCGCCTGGTGGATCCACCGGACGTCCTCGCCCTCGCTCGCGGTGGGGAGGATCGCGCCGGGGAAGCGCTGGCCATCGGTGAGCTCGAGCACGCCGGCGTCCGGGTTGGGCACGGCGCTGTCCTTGCCCGTCGGCGCGGGGAGCACCGCGATGAGCCCGCGGATCTCGCTCCGCCACTCGTCGCGGCCGTCCGAGAGCAGCAGCGTCTCGGGCTCGATCGCGAGGAGGAAGACCTCGCGCTCGCGGAGGCGCTCGTCGACGATCAGGGCCCGCACGCCCGGCGCGTCGTCCGCGGGCGCGGACGGGGCCAGCAGGGCGAGGCCCAGCAGCGACACGAGCGAGATGGATCGGGTTGGATGTTTCACTTCTGGAAGATCGGCAGATACCGCTTCGGCATTTGGAGGATGATGAGCGCCATCGCGGTACCGTAGGCGGGTCCGGCGTGGTTATCCTGCCATTCGCCCGAATCCCGCTGCTCGTCGACGAGTTCGTCCCGGATCGACGGCCACCAGCTCGCCCAGTTTGACCCCCCGTCGAGGTACATGCTCTGCACGGCGTAGTAGTGCCCGTAGAAGTAGTGGCTGCGGTTCCCCCGCCCGTTGCCGGGCATCGCGTTGCGCTTGAGGTACTCCAGCCCACGGTCGATCGCGTTGTCCTCGTAGATGCCCGCGTAGAAGAGCGAGGCGATGCCCGCGGCGCTCCGGGGCCACGCGCTGCCGCCCGAGGTGAGCTGGTATTTCCACCCGCCGTCGTCGTGCTGGCACGCGCGGATGTACTCCACCGCCCGATCGATCGTCGACTTCGGCACCTCGATCCCCGCGTTCCGCGCCGAACGCAATGCCATCACCTGGCAGATCGTCACCGACACGTCCGCGTCGTGCGGCACGGGGTAGTACCGCCAGCCGCCCTCGTCGTTCTGCGTCTGCACGATGAGACGCACCGCCTTGACGAGCTTCTCGTGCAGCTCCTGCGCGAGACGCGTGTCGCCGCCGCCGGCGGTCATGCCGTACACCTCGCCCAGGAACAGCGTCGCGAAGCCGTGGCCGTACATCGGCCCGTGCGACGTGTCCGCCGCGATGAGCCCCGTCTCGTTGATGTTCGCGAGGATGAAATCGAGCCCGCGCTGCACGGTCTCGCCGTACGGCCCGCGCCCCGGAAGGTTGCCGTCCGCCATGAAGGCGAGGCACGCGAGCGCGGTGATGCCCACGTGGCGCGGGTAGCGCAGCCCGCCGAACGAGCCCTCGTCGGACTGCATCGCCGCGAGCCGCTCGAGACCGAGCGAGACCGCGTCGTTCATCTCCTGCGTGATCTCGTTCCGGGCCGCGTTGTTCTCCGCGGTCTCGTTGCCGGCGTCTGCGGGCCCCGGCGCGTCCGGCGCGGCGTCCTGCGCGCGCGACGGCGCGAGGGCGACGCCCGACGCGAGCAGCGCGGCGATCAGGCTCGTGCGGACGGTGCTCATCGCTTCTCGCTCCCCTCTTCGGCCAGGCGCTTGTAATAGGACTCGGTCAAGGATTCGTACAGACGCGAGAAATAGTCACCCGAGCCTTGCTGCAGCGCGTCGCGGACACGCTCGGGCAGCGCGCCCCACGCGGCCCGCGCCGTGTCGAGGTTGTCACGCAGCTCGCCCTCGCTCCCGCCCGGCGGGAGGCGCTCCTGCGTGTTCGAGCCCGAGGGGTTGTTCGCCTGGGACTGCTGCTGCTGCTGGGGCTGGTTGGGCTGCTGCTGTTGCTGCTGCTGGGACGAGCTGGACGACGAGGACTGCTGATCCTGGGACGCCTCGATCAGCTCTTCGAGACGCCGGATGACCGACGCCTGCAGGCGCTGCGTCACCGTGCCGGTGTCCAGCGAGTACTCGAGCCGGTCCGCGGTCTCGCGCATCTCCTTCAGCGCGACCTGGAACTCGTCCGCGATGTTGGTCTCCTGGTCCAGCTGCTCGTCGAGGCGTTTCTGCGTGATGTCCTCCGCCGGCTTCGCGGCGTCGTCCTTCGGGCCCGCCTCGGGCAGGCCGAGCAGCTCGTCGAGCGAGGGCACGGGCGCGTCCTTCTTCGGCGCGTCGTCCGACTTCTCGGGCTCGGTGGCCGGCGCGGGTTCCGCCGGCTTGGGCGCGTCCTGCGCGACGGCGAGCGGCGCGAGGGACAGCGCTGCGCCGGCGGCGAGCATTCGGATGATGCGGCGATCCGTCATCGCGCTGACTCCCTTCCATTGGAGTTAACGTCGTTTTCGCCCCGTGTGTTCCCGTCCGTTTCGGGATTCGGGTCGGAGTCTGGCGCGTCGGCCGGTTGTTCGGGCGTATCTGCGGGGTTGGGCAATTCGGGCGCTCCCGGCATGCCCTCCGGACCCCCCGGAGCCCCCGGAGCCCCCGGGGCCCCCTGCTCGGTCACCCGGCGGATCAGGTCCTCGCCCAGCTCCAGCAGCTCGCGCTGCGTCTTGCCCAGAGAGCGGATGTCTTCGCTCGGCACGCCGGCGTCGGTGGAAAAGTCGGTGGTCTCCTGGGCGAGCTGGATCTGCAGGTCGCGGAGGAGCTTGAGCTCCTGCGCCGGCGGGATGAGCGGCTGCTCGCCGGCGCCCTGCTGGTTGCCCTGCCCGGCGCCGCCTTCCTGCTGCTGCTGCTCCTGGTCCTGCTGGCGCTGCGACTCCTCGAGCGCCCGGATGATGCCCTCGAGCACGCGGATGATCGCCCGCTGCGTGCGCAGGGAGTTCGACGGCTCGGAGGATTCGAGCTGCACGGCCGAGCGCTCGATCAGCTGGTCGAGGCGGTCGTGCGCGTAGTCGAAGACCTTCGCGTCCGCGATCTCCCGGATCTCCTCGCGCAGCTCCGTGAGGATCTCGCCCACGCTCCGCTGGGGGTCGCCGAGGCGGCGAACGAGCACGCGGTCGCGGCGCGAGAGCTCGTCCGCCTGCGCGAACGGCTCGGTCTCCTCGACGATCGCGACCTGCGCCTCGATCGCCTCGAGGTACGCCTTCTTGAGCCGCTCGCGTTTCGCGTCGTCCTGCTGCTGCTCGATCTGCTCGCTCGCCTCCTCGGCGCGCTCGAGGGCGCGGGTGAGCAGCTCGAGGCTCTGCGTCTCGTGCTCGCGGGCCTCGTCCGAGCTCGGCGCGGGGTCGCGCAGCTCGCGGATCGCACGCACCTGCGCGTCCGACGCGTTCTCCAGCAGGTTGAAGATCGGCGCGAGGTCCGACCCGCCCTCGAAGGCCAGGTCGCGCACGCCGAGCGTGTTCTGGTTCAGCCGGATCATCCCCTGCGCCAGCGGGGCGAGCGGCGCCGATCGGTTCACCACGCTCGCCAGCGCGTCCAGCTCGTCGCGCTGCACGCGGATGAGGCCCTCGAGCGATTCGATGATGCTCTTGAGCGCCCGCTGCAGCGCCTCCTCGCGCGCCCGGGCGCCGGACTCGAGGTCCTCGAGCATCTGCTCCAGCGCCTCCGCCGCCTGCTGCTGGGATTCCTGCGCGTTGGACGACTGGTTCCGCGCCGCCTCCCGCGCCGCGCGCTCCATGTTCTCCAGCAGCTCCTGCGCGTCCGCCGTCTCGGCCGCCCGGGACAGCGCCTCGGCCGCGCCGGGGTCGTCCTCGCGGAGCTCCTGCTCGCGGTCGCGCAGCGACTCGGTCAGCTCGCGCAGCCGCTCGGCGAGCTCGAGCTGCTTCTCGACGATGCGGTCCAGCTCGCTCTTGTCCTGCGGGGAGAGGTCGTCGACGGACTGCCCCGCGGTGCGCGTCCCGAGGGACTCGGTCTGCTCCTGGAGCGACTGCTGCTCGGTGAGCGCGTTCTCGATGGTGTTGCGCACCACCCAGTTGTCCTGACCCCGGTCGAGCTGCTCGATGAGCTGGCTCAGCTCCGCCCGCACCTGCTCCTGCGCCTGCGCGACGTCGCGCTCCTCCTCCTCGTTCAGCTCGAACGCCTCGGGGTCGTACTCGCCCTCCGCCTCGCGCTGCTCCGCTTCGGCGCGCTCCGCGGCCTGCGCGAGCTCCTCGGACGCCTCGACGGAGGACTCGCCCGCCCGGTCGAGCGACCGCGACGCCTGGCTCAGCAGCTCGCGCAGGCCGGGGTCGTTCAGCGCGTTGCGCTCCAGACGCTCGGCGAGCCGGTCGACGACCTCCCGCTGGCGCGCGATCCGTTCGGTCACCTGCCCCTGGCTCCGCGTGGTCGGACGCGTCGCGCCGCGCTCTCGCGCGAGCTCTTCCGTCTCGCGCTGCTGCTCGTCGATGCGGATGGCCGACTGGCGGATGTCGCCCAGCTGGTCCTGGATGTCCTCGATGAACTCGCTCTCGGAGAGCACCCGGAGCACGCGCACGCTCGAGCGCGTCGCCTCGCGGAGCTCCCCCGGCACCGCGTAGATGTCCCGCGCCACCGCCTGGAGGTGCACCTCGTCGCCCGGGCGCACGCCCAGCAGCGCGAGATCGAGCGTGGCGCTCGCGGTCATCGCGAGCTCGCTGTCGCCCTCGGCGCGGACGACCGTCTCCGGCTCGCCCTTCGGCTCCATCGCCCCGCCCGGCCCGCTCGGCGTGGGCGATTCGGACCCCGCCGGCGAGTAGATCGTGCGCTCCAGCTCCACCCACGCGAGGCCGACGTCGTCGCGACCCTCGGCCGACACTTCGACGACCGCCGTCGGCAGCACGCTCTCGTCGGCGCGCGGCTCGGTCACCGTCGCCGTCGGCTCGGCGTCGATCAGCGCCTCGAACCGGTACACCGCGTCCTCGACGGACTCGATGCCGTACGAATCGCGGAGCGTGAACGGCAGACGCGTGGACTCCTCCAGCGTGAACGCGAAGCGCCACGAATCGCCCTCCGTCTCGATCGTCGCGCCCTCGCCCAGGATCAGGCGCGCGGATTCGGGCACGTCGACCTCTTTGTTGAGCCGCACGTCGAGTTCCACGCGCGAGCCCGCGAGCGACGGCTCGGCGATCGCTCGCTCGTCCGTGCCCGGGCCGAGGTCCGCGTCTTCGACGGCGCGCGCGCTCAGCGGGAGATCCGCCGCGTAGTCCGGCGGCGTGACGCTCACCGTCGCGCCGAGCACGCGGGGCGGCTCGATGAGCGCGATCCGGCGCCACGCCGTCGCGTCGTCCGCCGTCTCGAACCGGTACTCGATCGCCTCGGCGTCCGGCTCGATGAGCCGCTCGAAGAGCTCGCCGCGCGTGCCGCGGTCGGCGCCGGCGAGGGCCTCGATCTCCCGCTCCTGCCAGGTCATGAGCTCGCGCCGCTCGGAGACGGTCTCGCCGCCCCGGATGAGGCGGTAGCGGAGGGCCACGTCCGTCGCGCCCGGCTCGCCCGGGGCGCGCATCAGCGCCGCGCGGAGCGTGAGCGATTCGCCCAGCGCGTGGAACTCGTCGGCGGTCGCGTCCGCGATGTCCGTCCGGCGGGGCCACGAGGCGTCGGTGAACGGCAGGTACAGCCGCTGCGCGCCGATCGCGAAGAGCGTCGGCGTGAGCAGGCCGACGGCGAGCAACGCGGCGAGGGAGATCGCCGCGACGGCGCCCGTCTGGGCCGCGGGCTTCGGCTTGAGCAGGGCGCCGGCGCGCACGCCGCCGACGCGGTCCGCGATGGAGCGCGCCTCGCGGACGGCCCGGGCCGTGAGCGCCCGCTCCGTCGGCGTGGCCCGGTCGTTCGCGTGCGTGGTGAAATCCACGGCGCTCGCGAGCAGGCCCCGGTACTCCGGCAGGATCCGCTCGACGCGGAGCGCGAGATCGGGGAGCGACGGCGCGAAGCGCAGCGCGGGCAGCAGGACACGCCGCGCCCAGACCGCGGCCACCGCGAGGCCCGCGAGCAGCGCGATCGTGCGCACAGCCGCCGGGAATCGGAGCCAGAAGTCGGTCAGGCCGACCACGAGCGACGCCCCGACGAGCACCGAGAACCCGAACGCCAGACGGCGCGTCACGAGCAATACGCGCGCCCGGCGGCCCAGGTGCGCGAGCGCCACCCGCACGTCGCGCAGGCTCTCCGCGGCTGCGGATGAATCGGGTTGGTCGATCTCGCGCACGGCGCGCCCTTTCGGTTGGTGTGCCCGATCTGAGAATCAGAGCAGGCGGATGGCTCTCCGCGTCACCCATTCGATCGTGAGCAGGCCCACGACCAGCGCCAGAGCGAGGGGTGTGTCCCACAAAGATTCGGACCGTTCATTGAGGAGTACCACCCGGCGCTTCGGAAGATTCGTCGGATCGTCGAACAGCTCCCGGACATTCGACACGTCCCACACGCGCCCCTCCGTCCGCTCGCTCAGCTCCGCGAGCAGGCCGTGGTCCGTCTCCGGGCGGCGGAGCTCGTCGTCCACGAGCGAGACCTCCGCCTCGCCCGAGAGCTCGAGCCCGGCCAGGGCCGAGTCCGTCGGCGCCGCGTCCCAGACGCCCGACTCGGACGGGAGCCACACGCCCGTGTACACCGAGCGCCCCGTCCCCTCCGGCTGGAGCGTGACGCGCGCCGTCGGGGGCGCCTCGCCCTCGCGGTCGCCCGGCGTCGGGCGGCGCTCCAGCTCGATCTCCACCGTCGGCAGGTTGAGGTCGACGAGCGACTGGTCGAGCAGCTCGACCGCGAGGCGCACCGGCTCGCCGACGATGGGGTCGTCCGGCGAGAGCGAGAGCATCGCGCTGCGCCCGGCGCGCGAGAGGCTCTCCCGCGCGCTCATGCGCAGCAGCTGGATCCAGAACTTCTCGAACAGCGCCTCGCCCCGACCGTAGCGCCAGCGCCACGTCTCGTCCGTCGCGACGAACGTCGATCGCCCCGCGCCGTACCGCATCGAGATCACCAGCGGCGAGCGGTTGTAGGAGTACAGCAGCTCCGCCTCCGCGAGCACCTCCGCCGTCGGCTTCAGGCGAGAAGGCTCCAGCGCCATCACCCACCGCAGCAGCGACCACCCCACGTTCGGGTCCGATACAGCGTCGAGCCACGGCGCCTGCGGGTCGTTCGTCAGCCGCATCACGCCCAGGCGCTCGGCGCTGTCGGTCGGGAACGCCACCGCCGGCTCCGGCAGCGTGCCCTGCGTATCCGCGTCGGAGGCGAAGGGGATCAGGTCCGCCAGCGGCGTGTCCCACCACAGGTTCGGCGTCGCCGCCGGCCCGGCGATCCACAGCAGCCCGCCACCGCGCTCAGCGATGTGATCGCGCAGCATCGCGAGCTGCTCGTACGTGAAGACGTCCGGCCGGACGTCGCCGAGCACGATCGCGTCGTACTCCGCCCATCGCTCGGGCGAGTCGGGGATGGAATCGACCTCGACGTCCCCCTCCTGGATGTAGCGCCGGTCCGGCGCGAGCAGGAGCGTGGTGGACGTGACGGACGGCTCGCGGATCAGCAGGTTCCGCATGTAGCGCTGCTCCCAGCGCGGGTAGCCGTCGACGTAGAGCACGCGCATCGGCTCGTCGACGATGGCGACCTCGAACGCGCGGGTGTTGTTTGTGGCGATGAGGTCCTCGCCGGACGTCGCCTCGATCTCGACCGCCCACGTCCGCGTCCCCGCCGTCTCGCTCACGGACGCGAGCGTGACCTCGTCGTTCTCGCTCTCGCCCGTCACGTACTCGCGCTCGTCGAGCACCAGGCCCGTCGCGCGGTCGACCAACCGGACCAGGGCCGAGGCGCCGTCCGGCACGCCCGCACTGGACAGGCGCACGCGCACCGGCGTCGGGTCCTCCGCGTACGCCGATCGCGGCGCGTCGACACGCGCGATCGCGAAATCGCCGATCGGGTCCGGGCTCCCCAGCGCCACCGAGTGCACCGGCACACGCTCGGCGCGGAGCCGGCGCAGCGCGGAGCGGTCCGGCGCGTCGAGCGAGCGGCCGTCCGTAATGAGCACCACCGCGCTGAGCGGCCTCGCCGCCGCGCGGTCCAGCGCGGAGCGCAGGGACGCGCCGAGGCGCGTCGAGATCCCGTCCGGGTCGCTCAGATCAACCGGCGCGCCGTCGGCGGGCGCCAGCTCGTACGCGTCGCGGTCGAAGCCGAGCCAGACGACCTCGCGGTCCTCCGCCAGCTCGCGCCACTGCTCGCTCGTCTCTTCGAGCACCGAAGCCAGCTGCTGCTCCCGCGTGAGACGCCCGCCCGGCTCGACGGGCCCGTCCGGGATCGTCATGGAAACAGAGCGATCGACGAGCACCAGGATCCAGTCCCGCTCCACCGTCTCGGTCTGCTGCACGAGCTTGGGCCCGGTCACGAGCAGGACGAGCAGCGCGATCAGCGCCGCGCGCATCAGCGCCAGGATCCCCCGCGCCGGGCGCGACCCGGTCAGGCGCGAGTAGCTCCACGCGCTGAACGCCAGCGCGGTGAGGATCACCAGCGCCCAGCCCCACCCCGGCAGCGGCCGGTCGAAGCCCAGCGCCACGCCCTCGTCCGCGGTGGAGAGCTGCTGGAGGTCCAGGAGTGATTCGATGAACCCGTTCATCACGCGGCCAGCGCCTCCGTCTGGGAGCGACGCCCGGCCGATCGGTCGCGGAAAGCGTGGGAGAAATACCGGGCCATGATCGTCTCGAGCAGCGCGAGGACGAGGCCCGCGATGAGCAGCGGCCAGCTGAGCGTCGAGCTCTGGGCCACCTCGCGGATCGCGCGGGCGGGCTCGTCGGCGTCGATCCACGCGACGGACGCGTCGCCGTCGCTCATCGCGCCCGCGAGCCACGCGCCGATGGCGTCCTCGGTCTGCGTGTCGGTGCGCGTGCCGTCGGCGTCCGCGTTCACCGCGATGAGCCCGCGGGAACGCCCGGACTGGTCGCGCGCCTCGTAGAGCGACGCCGCACGGATCGGCGACGCCACGAGCCCCGTCGGCCCGACCGGCTCGTCCAGCGCCTCGCCCGTGGGCAGGAGCGTCCGCACCCGGGCGCTGCGCGCCGGGGCGAGCACCGGGTCGCCGGCGCTCGCGATGCGCGTCCCGGAGGACGTGCTGAAGCCCTGGCGCACCAGCTCCTGGAAGAGCGGCACCATGAGGGGTCGCGCGGGCAGGTCGGTCCACTGCAGGTCCATCGCGCTGGCGATGTACACCACGAGCCCGCGCGAGCCGGGCCGCGACGCGTCGCCCGCGTCATCGGATTCTGTTTCGTCGTCCCCCGGGACGCTCGCGATGAACCAGGGCGTGCCGTCCTCGAGGCGGAGCACCACGTCCGCCTCGCGCCGGATGCTCTCCGGCGGCATCACGCGGAAGATGTTCACCGGCGCGAGCAGGTCGTCCAGCTCCGGCGCGATGGGCCCGATGAGCGTGCTCGACGCGTCGCCGGATGCGATCCGCTGCGTCGCGTCGCCCTCGTAGTCGATCGGCTCGCGGCTCACGCGCCAGCCCAGCCCCATCGCGCTCGCGAACGCGTCGGACCACAGCTGCACGTTGCGCTGGTTGTTCGAGGGGAAGACGATCACGAGCCCGCCCTCGTCCGCGAAGCGCCGGATCGACTGCCACCGCCCCTCGGGCACGACGTCCGGCGAGGGCAGGAGCAGCGCGTCGACGGACGCGAGCGTCGGCGTGTCGATCGCCGTCGGCTCGATGTCCACCAGGTCGATCGGCGTCGCGCTCGTCGGCCGCAGCGCGAGCTTGAGCCACTCGGGCGGGCCGAACTCGTCCGCGCGCAGACCGCGCTCGAAGCGCTGGCGCGCCACCACGCCCACGCGGAGCGATTCGAGCACCGCGAGGGGCATGCGGTACGTGTTGTCCGGCTCCAGCGCGTCGCGGTCGATCGTCGCGACGATCGCGCCGCCGGCCGTGCCGCCCGTGTCGTCGCCCGCGACGGACGCGTCGAAGGGCGCGCTCACCGTTTTTTCCGTCTCCCCCGGCTCCCACCGCACGTTCACGCGCGACTCGCGCCCGGAGCGCTCGCCGTCGAGCCCGACGAACCGCACCGTCAGCGCCGTTGCCTGCGCCTCGTCGATCGCCGGCCCGGCGCGCCGCAGCGTCACGCGCACCTGCTCGCCCTGGGCGAGCCCCCCCGTGCCGGTCAGCACGACGCCGCGGAGCGGCTCGACGTTCACGATCTGCACGTTCGAGGCGCCGCGCGCCGCGGGGCGCGAGGCGTACAGCTCGATCTCGCCCGAGGGCAGCACGCTCCCGAGCTCGGCGCTCCCGCGCCGGAACTCGCTCACGAGCACCGCGAGCGTGCGCTGCTCGAAGTCGCCCGCCTCGTCGCCATCGCGAAGGTCGCTCAGCGTGGCGAGGGCGCCGTCGATGTCCGCGGCGCTGTCCGTCGGCTCGAGGTTGGCGATGATCTCCCGCACCGCGCCGAGGTCCGAAGACGCCGGCACCACCACGCTCCGCGCGGGGCCGCCGAGCGTGATCACCCCCGCCCGGTCGCCCGGGCCCAGCGCGTCCAGGATCGCCGTCGCGGTGCGCTTGTGCGCGTCCAGCGCGAACTCGCCCGCCGGCCCCCCGTCACGCAGCGCCGACGCGACCGAATTGTCCACGAGCAGGAACACGTCCCGACCCGAACCGCCGCCGAGCACCCCCGCGCGCTCGAGGAGCGGCCCCGCGATCGCCCCGCCCACGAGCAGCACCACGAGGCACCGCGTCGCGAGCAGGATCATCTGCTGGAGCTTGAGCTTGGACCGCTGCTTCTTGTACGCCTCGAGCAGGAAGCGCATCGCCCCCCACACCACCGGCTTCCGCCTCCGGCGCAGCAACAGGTGGATGATGATGGGGATCGCGACGCACGCGAGGGCCGCGAGAAAGAGACCTGGGTGGACAAAGGCCATGAGCCTCAATTGTAGTGGCGGGGGAGGCCCGAGTTCCCCGAGAAACCGCCGTTTCCGGCGTCCCGATCAGGATTTACACCCCGATCACGCGCCGCGACTCCACCAGCGCGTCGCGGATGCGGTTGCTCGCGTCCGCCATCGCCCGACGCTCCCGGATCCCGATCTTCGAATACGGCGTCCCGCCCGCCTCGCCCGGCTTGAAATGCGGCTCGACGAGCCGCATGGCGCGCTCCAGCGCGTCGTCTATGGCGCGCACCGTGCGGTCGGTCTCCCCGAGCACCCTCGCGAAGGGGGCATACTGGCTCGCGATGCCGATCCAGTTGTGCCTGAAAATGAGCAGCGACTGGTCCGACCACGTCTCCTCCTCGGAGGACACCTTCTTCGCGCTCACCTCCGTCGCGAGCACGATCATCCCCTCGAACTGCCCCCGCGCGCTGAACCGATCGCGCTGCCGGAGCTCCTTCCCGAGCGTCCGGATGCTCTCGACGAGCCCCTCCGCGTACGGCTTGGCCGCGTCGAGATCCTCGTACGCGAAGAGCAACGCTTCGATCTTGTGGAACCCCTTGAAGTGCTTGTCCTGCTCCCCGTCCTCGAACGCGTAGGGACGCGCGTCGATGTCCTTGTCCGACTCCAGGAAGTCGCCCGCGAGGGTCTCGATCTCCTCGTACGGCGGACGCGAGTCGACGTACGCCTTCTTGGCGCGCTCCACGTCGCCCGACGCGATCGCATCACGAAGCCCGCGCACGAGCGGCATCTGCTCGTCGCACCGCTTGATGAAGTAGTCCACGCCCGCCGTCACGGCATCCGCGAGGTCCTTCGGGTCGTCGCTCGCGGGACGAGCCGGGCGGCTCGAAGAGGCGAACGCGAGTTTCGGCTCGGTGATCGCGGCCCCGGCGATGGATCCGACAAGGGCGGCTTTGAGAACGCGACGGCGATGGATGGGCATGGGGAGGCTCCTGGGTCGTTGGTTTCGACTTGGGAGTGTAGTTGAGACTGAGTCTCTGTAACAAGCGTCTTGTCGCAGCTCCGACCAAGGTTCATGGCAAAAAATCACCAAAATACCCGATCAAAATCCTATTATATTCAAGTGTACAAGCTATTTGCTTGACGTTTGTCAACGGGATCCTAGACTATGCCGACAAGGCCGAAGCACCCCAAACCGCCGATCGAGAGCGCGATCAGGCACGCGGAGCAGTTGGGGTGGCGTGTGGTCAAGTCGGGCGGTCAGGCCCACTGCTGGGGCAGGCTCCTGTGCCCGATGGCGACGCCGCAGGGGTGCATCATCATCGTGTACTCGACCCCACGGAGCCCCGAGAACCACGCGCGCCAGATCCTGCGGAGCATCGAGAAGTGCGACCACGGGTCGCGGGACGACGAGAACGACCAGAGCGATGAGTGAACACGACCACATCCCAACGCCGGAGCGCAAGTTCGATTTCGCCCTCATCGTCGCGGGCGTGCCGGAACTCACGGACGGCGTCGCGGACGCCCTCTTCGAGGCCGGGTGCGACGACGCCACCGTCACGATGCGCTCCGGCCTGCTCCACATCGAGTTCAGCCGCGCGGCGCCGACAATTCAGAGCGCGATCCTCGGCGCCATCCGCGATATCACACGCGCGAGCATCGGCGCGACGGTCGTGCAGGTCGAGAACAGCAATCTCGTCTCCATGGCGGACATCGCGCGTCGGATCGGCAAAAGCCGCCAGCTGGTGCACCAGTACATGACCGGCGAGCGCGGGCCGGGCGGGTTCCCGCCGCCCGTCTGCTTCGCGACCGAAACCAGGGTGCTCTGGGCGTGGTGCGCCGTGAGCGCCTGGCTCGCCGGCAACAACTACCTGCCCCCGGAAGACTCGTGGAACGCCGAGGTCGTCGCCGCGATCAACAACGCGCTGGAGATGTCCCAGCAGCGCCTCCGGCAGCCCGCCCTGGTCGAGGAAGTGCACCGGCAGCTCGGCCTCGCCTCCTGAGGACAGCTCACCCCATCTTCGAGCGTTTAATCACCGAATTCCGCCGCGCCACGAAGGCCGCGAGGGGCGGGCCGAGCCATTCGTGCGTGCAGACGCGCTGGTAATCGAACCCGAAGCTCTTGGCCGTTTTCTCGACCTGCTCGCGGTGCTCCTCGAAAATCCGGAGGTACTCCGCCCGCAGCGCCCGCGGGTCGACGCGGACGCGCCCCTCGTCCTCGAGCCCCTCGAACGGGAGCGACTCGGTGAAGTCGAACACCTCCTCCTGCCGGTCGATCACCTGCAGGAGGATCACGTCGTGCGAGCGGTGCCGCAGGCGCGCGAGGGCCGTGCGGATGTCCGCGATGTTCTCGTAAAAGTCCGACACGATCGCGATGAGGCACCGGTTGTTCAGCTTCGCGATCGTCTGGTCGATCACCCGCCCCAGGTTCGCCGGCTTCTCCACCGGGTGCGTCGAGAGCGTCCCCACGATGCGCCGCCACTGGTCCCCCGCGCCCGTCCGCGAGAGCATCGAGAGCATGCTCTCGGCGTACACCCCGAGCCCCACCCGGTCGCCCTGGCGCAGCGCAAGATGCGCGAGCGCCGCGGCCGTGGCCGTCGCGTGGTCGAACTTCGTCCAGTTCGTCGACCCGTCCGCCTTCGCCTTCTCGCCCTTGCCGGACGCGTCGGAGTAGAGCCGAGACCCGTAGTTCATCGAGCCGGAGGCGTCGACGAGCAGGATCAGGTCGAGCGAGGTCTCCTGCTCGTACTGCTTGAGGTGCAGCTTGTCGCTCCGCCCGTACACCTTCCAGTCGAGGTGGCGGACGTCGTCGCCCGGGACGTAGGGGCGGTGCTGGGCNNCGTGGTAGGGCGAGCGGTGCATGCCGGACATGACGCCCTCGACGACCATTTTGGCCCGCAGCTCGAACGTCCCGAGCCGCGCGAGCGTCTGCGGGTGCAGGTAGTTCGTCGCGTCGGCTTCGGGGGTGAAGGGGGTTGTGGGGGTGGATTCGGACATGGGTGTAATGATGGTATACCGCTACAGGGTGAGCGGTTTTCACCCCACCATCCCATTCTCCTGCGGTGGCTCAGCCGAATCAATCGCCTCAATCTTTGTGATCCGACATAGACAGACGTATTCAGCTCGCACCGGGACACCTTCGCTTTCCTGTATCGCCACAACAACCTGAGACTTCATCGGCATCGCCTCATCCGAGTGCATGACGTCGTACACCGGTCCGTCCGATGTGCGGATCCGGAACGGACGGAACGGCTGGCTGCGAGTGAATCGGTACAGATCCTGAGAATTCACCGCTACGCCGTCCGCCTCTTCGGATCCGACACCAGCGGGTACTTCTCCGGGTGCTCGATCGAGTCGAGCGTGAGGTCCACGTCCAGGTCCGGCCAGAGCAGGTGATCCGGGCGCGGGCGTGTGACGTTCGCGATCGCGCGCACGGTGGCGTCCGCGAACCACGGGAACGTCTCGAACGGCAGGAACAACTCGCGCGAATCGAGCAGGATCCAGAAGCCGTGCGCCGAGATGTTCGTGACTTCAACCATCGAGAAAGATTGCTTGTCTAACCCGTCGTTCCGTTCTTCCGCGGCGGCTCACTCGAATCGATCGCTTCGATTCGAGTGATGTGAAGCATCGACACATGCTCTGTGCGGTCTGGGAGGCCCTCTTCGTCCGGCATCGCGATCACCACCCTCGATTTGAGCGGCATCGCCTGGTCGGGGTGGACGATCTCGTAGACCTGCCCGTCGCTCGTGTGAAGCCGAAAAGGCACGAAGGGCCTTCGCCGAGTGAACTCTCTGAGATCGTCGAGTCGCATACCCGAATCCTACCCCAACTTCATAAGAAAGCAATCCCCTTAGGAATCACCCCATCACCTCATCCATCTGCCGCTTCTCCGTCTCGCTCGATCCATCGATCGAGATCTCCTCGAGGAGCGTCGTGATGACGTCGTCCGTCGTCACGCCATCAGCATCCGCGTTGAAGTTCGTGATGATGCGGTGGCGCATCACCTGCGGGGCCACGGCCCGGATGTCGTCGATCGTCACGCTGAAGCCGCCTCGGAGCACCGCACGGCCCTTGGCCGCGAGCACGAGGTTCTGGCTCGCGCGCGGGCCCGCCCCCCAGGAGAGGTAGTCCTTCACGACCTGCGGCTTGTCCGTCGTCACGTCCTTGATGCGCGTCGCGCGCACCAGGCGCAGGGCGTACGCGATCACGTGGTCCGCCACCGGGCACTCGCGCACCAGGTGCTGGGCGCGCATCAGGTCCTCGGCCGTGAGCACGGGCGAGGTCGCCGCGTCCTGCACCGCCGTGGTCCGGCGGACGATCTCCATCTCCTCCATCTCGGAGGGGTAGTTGATCTGGATGTTGAACATGAAGCGGTCGAGCTGCGCCTCGG